ACACACACACACACACACACACCATAAAATAAAAATGAGGAACCTAAAATATGGTTCCACAAAGCCTAGCTAATCCACTCATGTATTCACAGAAACCCTTTCTTTGAAAAGCCCTTGAGGCTGAGAAGAATGTTAGTTTATAGGAAACAGTTCTCTCCATGATAACACTGGGAAAATCAGGAGACCAGGTGTCATATATCTCATCTTAAAAGTGCTAAGACTTCTGTCTTAGCCCAAGCTGTGCAAACAAATACCCTGGGTGAGGTGGCTTATTGCTGGGTCCTAGAGGCTGTGTTGCCCAAGGTGTAAGTGGGTTGCATGTTGATGGGAACCGGCTTCTTGGTTAACAGACATCAGTCATTTTACTGCCACTGCATATGACACAGTGAGGAATGGGATTCTCTGTGGTCACACTTATAAAGGGCATAGATGGTCATTATGACTTAATCACCTCCCAAAGTTCCTACATCTCATTTCAGGGGGACACATGCAGGCTAGAGTCATTTCTAATAATCAAAAAGTGAAAATAACCCGTGTCTATCAGTGGATGGGTAAATAAGATATATTGGGCATTTATACAATGGAATGACGCTCTTCCTTTAAAAAAAAAATTCAGATATACATGACAAAATGATGATTCTCTGTGAATACTTGAGACACAAAGGCACTGATGTGATTCCTGAGATAGTCACAGAGAGACAGATGGCAGGATGATGGCTGACAGAGGCGAAGTATGACAGGAATAGGGTGTTATTATTTTATGAGCACTGGTTCTCGTGGTGACTGTACAGCCATGGGAATGCACTTAATGCCACATTAAAGTATGGTCGAAGTGGTTAACTTTAGGTCAGGGATGTGTGACCAGCCATTCCGTTTATTTTCTCTATGTTCCATTCTCCTTATCTAGACCATTGCAGTAAGAATAAAGCATGCCTTATCAAGCATGAACCTTCAGCACATATCATAAACTCAACTGTCTCCCAGAAACCACACATACCCATGCCAGAGCTGTCCGAGGCTGGGTGAGTGGCACTTCTGTAATTCCAGCGTTCAGGATGTGACAGGAGGACTGAAAGTTCCAGACAAGCCAGAAATAACAATGAGATTCTGTCCCTCAATCCACAAAGCTCTCCAACAAAGTCAGTTATCAACAGCGAAGCAGAAAAGAATGAAATAAAAAAGCATGCACGTGGACACACACACACATCCAAGAAATTTTGCAAGTAGCAAATGGTTACAGAAATCAAATAAATAGTAATGGTTTAAATTTATTAAGCACATATTTAGGCATACATTTATTTACTCCTCATAGGATGTGTTTGGTGAAATACTATTAAAATCTGTAGTGGGAGCTCGAGAGATGGCCCAGTGGTTAAGAGTGTTGTCCTTGCAGAGGAGCCGAGTTCAGTTGCCAGCACCCACATCTGGCAGCTCACACTTTCCTCTAACTCCAGTGCCAGGGTGATCTGATGTCTCTGACCTCTTTACAAATCAGCACCCATTCATATGCCTGTACCCACACACAAATTCACATAATTAAAAATGATAGAAATAAATCTTTAAAATCTGCAGGAGCAACAAGGTGTGGTGCTGTATACATGTATGGTGTGTGTCTCTAGTCCCAGAACTAGACATGTGTGT